CAACATGGAGCAATAAAGCATGATATTTCTATCGTTAACCAGAGAAAGGTAAACAACGGCGGTCATCCTTTGAATTATTTATAAGAAACTGGAAGATACACATGCTGGTTCCACTCGGTGTACTCGTATAATTATCAAAACTGCTATGGAAAATGACATTATGTTCTGATCATGTTTTATTTTTAGAAAAATAATAGAATAATAAAAATTAAGAAACAAATATTGTCGGAACGAAGAAGATTCGTTGCAAACGCATTCGCGATAACTCAAATGTTCCTTTCACTTATTATTATGGCGAAGAAAAAGAAAAAGAAAAAGAAAAAGAAAAAGCATGGCTATTGGAGTAAGGCCAAATCCTAAAAAGGCTTTACTATTTCATTGCAGCAGCAGCAGCTTTTAACGACGCGACTGAATGCATTGTGAATGCCACTAATGTAAGACTCCCCGTTGATGACCTTGGCACTAGATTTGTCAGAAAGTTAAAGCTGATTCTCTCTGATGCGTGTCGCGCTTGATCCCGATTAAAACGGGAACAAGTACTTCATGTATGCAGCAACCTATCAACGCTTGGGGAAAGAGAAGATGCACCTATGGTGTTTCGTGATTCGTCGTCGTGAAAACGTGGGAAAAAAAGATTGCTAGACGCGATAGTGAAAAGATGGAATTTTAACTGGTATTCGAATAATTTTTATTTTTGTTTGTTGATAAATAAGTATCGCGTGACTGTTTTCATTATATATAATATATAATATATTTCAAATACTAATTTTATATATTTTATTTATTAATATATTCTAATTAGTCTCTTATGTTAATGCAAATTTTATTCTTTTGTGAGATAATTTTAATTTACACAAATGTAAATTTCAAAACAAGAAAAATTTCTTAATTTAATTTTATGCACGATATTTGTTAACGTAGAGCATGAAATAGTTGGTTTTAAATGGGTGGATAATAATCAAGCGTCACGTTCATAATCAACATTGGAATGAAATTTGGAACGATAAAGGAACATCATTGAAGCATCTTTTCACCTCTCTTTTAATGATTATTTCTATATAAACCGCTAGAAAGAACGTGAGCGATAGCAAAACCATGGTGGAGTTTCACCGTCGAAAGTTTTGTCAGGTCTATACAATGTGCAATGCAATTCGGCTCTTCCCACGTTCTTCCTAATACTTCTTGCGCGATCGCGTAATCCTCTGCATAATTCTCCTTCGTAATTATTTCCTCCTCTTTAACCCTCCCCTCTTATGTATAATATATTCTACACACGCCCATGGTAGCGGGGGCACGGTTACAACCGAACACTAATAAGGGAACGGGCTTTGTGCCAGTTTTTTCAAACTTTCTGTTACATTCCAAGATACATGTTCGATAGTTGATAGAAACTTTATAAATTTTCTGATATCTACAACTTTTTTCTTTTCCCTATTATTTTTTACATATATAATGCATATATGTATTATTGTATTTGCATAGAAGAATTTAATTTTATTTATATTTCTTTATTTTTTTGTTTAAATAATTTATTAGTATCTCAAAAATTAATAAAATTAAAACAAATCTTAGAATATCTTATTAATTGACAAAATATTTATGAACATAAATAAACAAATATGCTCTTTAGCATCAATTCAATTAGTTATACAATAAATGTGTTTGTATATTTTAAACACTTTTATCTATTTTTTTGTGAGGCCCAAAATGAAATATGAATTTGATTATTGTCATAATATATAACGCGATAATTATTGATATATTATTATTTACCATTTAAAAGAAAGTACTGTATTTTCTTGTGAAAAACGATTATAAATTATCGATTTCAAAGATCTTCTTTTTAAACATTCGTAATTTAAAGGAATAAAAAACTAGTGAAAAGAGAGAAAAATAAAAAAGTCAAACTTTGGTAGGTTGCTTTCAGTTTTCATGTTAAACAGGATATCGACTTAACGTTCAATTAGCGAGCATGTCGATTGGAAGCCCCCGTTGATTAATAATTCGATCATCTTCTCGGTAAAATTAAATTTCGATTTCTAGGGAAGACCATTTTTATTTCTTTTTTCCAAACAATTAAATGACGATATTAAAAAAAAAGAATCAACTTATCGAAGCCCTTTCCCTTCTTATCGGTCTGCTTGCTACTCTCCATTACGAAATTTCCAGTTCAAGTTTCTTCGCTTCGGGGAAAGTCAATTTGTATTTTCCGCGAGAGAAAACTTTTCTCGCTTCATTTTCCCGTACTGTGTACTAAAGTTTTGTATACATACATATATATATATATATACAGATAAAAGAATAGTTAACTTACTCCCTTCGCTTAACTTTTCAATTTTATTTCGAATGAACAATTATTGTGCATCTAATTGTAAATTATATTTTGAAAAAAAAAAAAGAGAAACAAAAAAAGGGAACGATTATTTTAAATCTCTTCCATTTATTTTAAAAATATTTTTTCAGATCTTCCTACTGATTTTCTTTTTTTCTTTTCTTTTGTAAAGTTCACAAGGTATTTCGATAATTTCAACATAAATCAATAAAAGATATAAATATCTTATATGATTTATAAAAATCATAGAAAATTTATACAAAATGAACATGTTTTATATTTCATCCTATGCATATTACATACTCATCGATATTCTACTTTTACGAGCAATCTTTCCGCATAGCTTGAATGCAAGAGTTTAGAAAAGAAAAGAAAAAAAATATACATAAAAACGTTAAGATACGTTCTATACACATATATAAACGTATATTCACACGTACACACACAGTTATATTTACACACTGAGTTATGCCATATCGAAGAAAGTAGTACTTTAGATAATTCTATATTATATGCAGACTTCGGAACACCGATGGGCATCATACATCGAAATTATATTTCGAGAATTGTACTTTACACGGCAACCCATAAAATCGGCAGATTTATATCATCCAACGATACGTAACTAACATCCTTTACGTTTCCTTAAGATCCGTTTAACCAATCAACGATGTCACCTCTGCTTCTGACAGCAACAAAATTCTAAACTTCTCCTTTATTCGTTTTATTTGAGAAAGTTCTTTTGATCTCTGCGTCTACGATCACCTGTTTCCTCATAGCACACTGAACGTCATCCTCGTTGTTTATTTTATACAATAATTATTACAGTAATTAATATTAGGTTAATATAAGGTAATGCAACATTTTTTTTCTAAACAAAACAAAAATGAACAGCAAAAACCCTAATGAACTTATTGATCAATTTAATATATCAAATGCGTTGATTAAAAATCGTCTAATAATTATGATTTCATAATTTTTCCCATAGAATAATTCTAAAATCTGTTATTGAAATTAATTCGATAATTCTCTAATACAAATGTTTCATTTTTTCTCAAATAATTGATAATAATATTGCCATATATTAATTACTTTCGTATAATAAAAATGAAATAAAAACCTCGACAAAAAATTTGAACAATCGAAAAAATAAGAGGAAAGAAAAATGATATATAAGAACATAACAAATATTATACTTCTTCATTCTGGCATATATTGTTTTCTTTTTAATATCTCCTGTTTATTATAGTTTCATGTCGATAAACAAATGGATGAACATCGGACAAGCTCAGTCTGGTGATTGGACACTCGAATACTGAAGCTCTCACAAATTTTGCAGAAACTAACGGAGAGAAAGAATGAAGAGATAGACAACGGGAGGAGGCAGAAAAAAAAACAGAGAGAGAGGGGAGAAATTTAACAAAGGAAAATGGAGAGGCCAGCAATGCACTTCTGTAGGAGGATCGAATATCGACAGCAGTGACTTCCTGTACCCTCGCATGATCAATAAACGTTCATTTACTGCTCACTTTGAACAATACGTTCGAGTGTCTACGGTATTTGCAAGCAATACAGTGTTAAACGGTACAATATATATTTACTACTAACAGGCAACTTGTTTTTAAATCAAGCGATAATAGAAAAAAAAAAAATATATATTTTCCAAAATTTTGTATTTTTACTTGAAGAAATTCAATCTCCTTAGCAAGAATTTTTTGTTATACGGTTCGTTATAATTTTATTATAACGAATTTTATATCTTATAAATCAGTAATTTTACAATAAAAAAAAAAAAAAATATATATATATAAAGAATAGCATAGGGTGTGGGTTCAAATTAAAAAGTATATGTATAGTTATATTTTTCTTTTAATTATTAACCCTTCCATTACTAAAGATTCGTATACGGGTCGTCTATGGAAATGACCCGTATCAACGATATATATAAGGGTAATACCATTTGATGATACGTAAAGGGTTGAATTAACCCACATATCTACAATAAAATAGGTTTATTCAGCTTAACATCCAAGGATTAAACTTCGTTTACAATATTCAAACAATAATTAAAATTCTATCTTAATACACATATTATCTGTATGTAAATATATATATATATAACAAGTAAATATATTTATTTAAATAAAAATAACGACTATATAATATATCTTCACGTGCTTCATGGAAAAAAGATTATTCAATAACAAATGAAAGAAAGAAAGAAATAAACGATGTTATCATAATCGCAGTTAATTAATTGTTTGCTTCTGATTAAGGTAAGCAACGTCAAATTTCTCTCTCTCTCTCTCTCTCTATTTTATTTCTTTGAAATATCCTTTTTAAAATGTCGAAAAACATAGGATTGCACAAGCGAAGACTATGTTTGGATGCAAAAGATTTGAGATGATCTCGCATAAGTTCGCAACAATATACATACACATATACACGTAAAATTATGCTAGTAGTTTACGTAATCGTCCTGACCGAGCGCGACGAACAAAGATAATCAATTTGAACGTCACGAAAAAAAAAGCAAAGCATCTCGCGCACGTATATTACAAGAGAGAGAGAGAGAGAGAGAGAGAGAAGACGTACACACGATTTCCTCATTAGTAAGACTTAAAGGGGGGTAGGTACGTATAAAAGTATTTACGTACTATACTTTTACCTGTAGCGTATATTGTCGAGAGATGATGATGAGTCATGCGAGGAGAAGCTCATAACCGCAAAAACGGACTTGGCGTTTATTAATTAACATAATTCCTCTCTTCGTTTCATTTGTGTGAACGTAAATAAGTCAAACCTAAACATCCATACAAGTATATACGCACGAACGAACAAAAACAACACACACACAACAAACGAGAAATGCATGTAAAAATTAACACAAATGAGAACCTTGACTTTCGCGACGCATTGTTCGCGATCAAACATATAGATGACAGTTTGAGAAAGAAATAACTCGTAAAGTGGTACGATGATTTATCGATTATTTCGTCACAACTATCTAAGATATATCTATTTGTACGTGTATATATATATATATATATATATATANTATATATATATATATATATATATATCGATTATGTCGCCTCGGTTCTCTTTCTCTATACGATTAAATTTATCTGGAACGTGAAACAAAGAAAAACTTCTACTTTCAGTGATGATACAATCCTCGCATATATAATACAAATGATAGTAAATTTGAGCTAATATTTCAATCAAAAGTAATCAATAATTACTATTAATATTCTACGATGCGAGATATGTTATTTCAAGTGATTAATATTTATTCATTCATGTGTGCATGTATTATTAGAAATAATGAGTGGTGAGGGGGGCGGGGAGAGGGAAGGGCAATAATATAGACCTAATGAGAATCATTTTTAACCGTTCTATCAATTGTGTTTGTACGTGATCAATAAGAAATGATTTTATTACTTTTGTATATTAAATAATAATCATTGTAACTATTTTATTCTTGCGCGAATAGGAAAACTTCGTTGAAATAACAACAATCGTTTAATTAGCGAACACGCATGAAATACTTTAATTAGTATGGCTTTGTCAAAGTCTGAACAGACGTTATTACTTGTGAAAGAGTCAATAAACTCTCGTTGCTATTTTATCTCATTTATTTCTCCTTGCGTAATAGCTGTTAAGGGTTTTGTAATAGCGCGTTTAGAAAATTAACATTTTTTTCATTATTATTATTATTATTATTATTATTTGTATTATTTTTATGATTAATTTCTATGAGAAAAATATTACAAATATCAATCGTCTATTTTATAAATCTAAATTAGCAATCAACGGATGATTGTTTTTAAAGGACCTTTTCTTATCCTTAAAGGAAGATTTGTGACAAGCAAGCGCGCATGTATTAAAAAATTGATTCTATCACGATCGATTTAAAGTTCTCATGATTATGTCGTAATGACGATCATTCTCCTTCAGAGCTAACGCGATTGATTTCTTACAACCAAATCGTTCATAGATTTTGCAAGGTATAATACGATCTTGAATTATTATTATACTTAAAGAAATCATTAGATAATGGCCTCTCGTGAGATCAAATTTTGTTTTATTCGTTAGAAAGAAAAAAAAAAAAAAGGAAAAAAAAAAAAAAAACAAGGAATAAACTAAATAAATTTGTTATCTCGTGTTTTATTAAACGGAAAATTTTTCTTCAAAATTTTTTCCTAGAGAAAAAGTACTGAAATGTTTCATGCGTATAAAACGCGTGTACGAGACAGTGAATTCGTTCGTAAGAGACTGGTGGAGGAAACGTTTTTAAAACTTTCTCACAAATGACAAGAGAAAAGTATTTAGCGGTACGCGAATTTAGTATAGTTAGATTGTACAATGGTGGTAATAAGTGTTACATAAACGGCACCTCTTTCTCCGTAAGCGAGTACTACTTACTCGATAAGAAGAAACTAGAAGGTATGAAGCAATATCGTAAACGGAATGAAACTTCTTCGTGAGTCTTCACAAAGTATAGAATCGTACGACATGTCAATCACGATCAATGCACCTTCGATTATTATTTCCTTTGTGAAACGCTTTTATATTCCCTTTACGCTTTGATTGGAATCAAATTTAATTATATTTTAGACTTTCGATCGAAAAAAAAATATAATCTTCTACGTATTTCCCAAATTCCCCACGTGTGTTTTATCATTTTTTATTTATTAAATATTTCTGAAGAGGATTATTGAAAAATTATGATCAATTAAATGTAAGAAACTTTTTTTTCGATGTTTTATACAAATATTCGTATTTGTAATATTTGTGTATAAAATAAATAATAATTGATCTATTTTTTTTTTTTGGTGATTATATTCACATAGAATTATTAATAATAACAAACCCGTCTAAAACTTTTGAACATTTCTTCTTTTTCTTCAGATTGTATCAAATTTTATTTAAGTTCGTAATATGAAAAACAAAATTAATTGTCCGAAAGTTGCTCGATTTTTAATATTGACGTAACAAGAAAGAGAGATTTTTAATTTATGCAAAAAAAAATTAAAAGAGATAAAGCATCAGAGAAATCTAGTTAACTAAAAATATAAATCTCAAGAAGAGAGAAAGATGATCGAGAGATGGAATATAATTTAACATCACATGCTACACCTGTCATGTTCTCTCTCTCTCTCTCTCTCTCTATCTGTTTCTTTATACTCATCTTTAAAAGCATAACTATATATATATATATAGTATAAATAAAAGGTATGCAAGTAGTATCCAGTCGAGTGTTGCATAATTTCACGCGACTTGCTTTGTCTTCGGTTACGATATTAGCCCGTCGTCGAAAGCATACGATCTCATTCCTTGAGATGAACACCTCTATTGTTTATCTCAAGCAAAAAGGAATAATAAAAAAAAAAAAAAAAAAGAAAAAAGAAGGAGGAGATGAAATTTATATAATATACTTATTTATATTTGAATTTTTTTCTTCAAAACGAATGGTAAGATATCCTTGCTACTTCAAGTATACGTTTCTTTATCATTTAATTTTTTTGTTGATCAACCTTTTCTTTTTTGTCGCATCTTCACGCATTTTCAAGATAATGGACTGGTTCATTCTCTTAAGTGCCACATTATTTACGTATACCGTTAAGTGATGAAATATCATCGCTGAAGGAAACAAAATTTCACGGTGTGATCTTGCGAAATGGATCGAAAGCGAGTCGCTTATAAAGCAATTAACGAGAACGATCGAAAGATCTTTTTCTTTTTATTTTTTCTTTTTATTTCTTTTTAATATAAAAATACTTGGACGATTATTGTATTAAGGAAAAAACAACAAGAAGGAAAAAAACAAATCGGCGTTGCACCGATCGATGCAATATACTTTAATCAATTACTGTATGCATATATATAATGTGACTGGTTTTAATAATAAATGTCTTAGGTGAATCAACAAATCCTGGACTTGTTATTTTATAATTTAAAAAAAATTTCATTAGCCTCGAAATAGTCTGTAGAATCACCGTAATGAATTTTTAAAATCATTTAACATTATTCGAATCGAATTCTATAGAAATCAAAAGAGTTTATTTATAAAAGAAAATTGCTAGGAAGTTATTTAGAATTTATTTTGTTCTTTTTTTTTTTTTTTCAATGACTATTATAAGATATTAATTATTTTCTAATTAATCACATGAATTTTTGTATTATTCTTTGTTCGCGGTACTTAAGCTTTGTTTTTTTTTTTGTATCAAAAGATATTGTAAGTTCGTTAAAGAGTAAGACCTTTGTGCAAGAACTTTGTTCCTTCCTATTTGACGAATGTTGGGTGTATCAATGTCAATCATTTTCAAATGTATAGCTATTAGAAATGTTATTTCATTTTGAAAATACTCAATCATGTTTTATCACACCGTATTAATTCTTAACCCTTTAATCGAATGTCAGGTCAGCCCAGTCAAAGTCTTTGAATTTTCGTTTTGTTCGCATGAATTCATCGAATCCTTGAGATCAAGAGGCATCATCGTGGCCATATCACCCCTGTGACATATTGACAGGTAGCCCTTTCTTTATTTCTTTATTTGTTTCTTTTTGTATATATCTTTCTTTATTTTTGTCCTGTCTATTCGTTCATCAAAGAAATCATCGAGCGTTAGCACGATACCAACTTCCAACTTAGGAAACACAGCGTATTCGTTGTAATATTCTATTATACAATGACAAAGCGGCAACGTCAAAGGTCAGGAAGATGAATAAATTCAATGGGAAAAATAGTAGAAAACGAATCTTACGTTATTTCGACATTTTTCCCATTTCGGTGGGAGACAGTTAAAGTTGTGACGTGACAAGATTCGTACGATTATAAAAGAAACCTGTTTTTGTTGTTGTTGTTGTTTTATTATTCCCCTAAATCAATTCTACGATAGAAAAATAAATTACAATTATTAACTATACTAGTTTCCTTCTTGTTAATAAAAGTCGAGTTTGAAAAAAAAGAAAAAAAGAAATTTCTTATCTAAACGTATAATTCGAAAATAAATTATCCCAATTATTTTCTATCATAAAATATAAAAATAAAATTAATACGACAAATGGCATTAGAATGATGATTGTTAACTGACAATCAACAAACTATAAGGATAGTCGAGTGAAATGGGATCGGTTCTGATTTTTTCTACGATCGAGATCACCGTCGGAGAAAGATAAAAAGAAATCAATACAAAGGAGAGAAACCAAAATGACAAGGATGATAATAAAAGGTCCACAAAAGGCGTGCTATGAGGAGAGAGTAATTCGTCGTGTTTCAAAGGAGACAAAAGTACTAAGGAGGAGAGGAGAGAATGCAACTAATTACCTATCAGTCGCGAGAACATTGACGAATGAGAACACGAACTAACGGAACGAGGACGTGCTGAGAATCCTCTAACTAATGTCAACCACAGCAATCTAAACGAATGAAAAGAAGAAGAAGAAGAAGATTACTTAGAAAGGTAAAGGTCTCATTCTATCTTTCTCTCTCTTGTTGATCGTCTTTGTCGATCTCGAAAGAAATAAATTTTGAAATCGATCAAACTTGACATCAAGACCCCCTCTCCTTTCTACACAAATAATTGCAATTGCATTTCATATATTTTATGTACAGTAATATCTATCGATTAAATGTTCCATGGGGGAAACATAAAAAATGAGTGAAACATTTTGAAGGAAGACATTTTCTGTATTATTATATTAAAATAATGAAAAATTATAAATCAGTAATTTCAA